ACTCGGCGCCCCTGGGCTCGGGTTTGCCCCGGGACTCTAGGCGAACAGACGTGGGAAATGATCCCTGCTAGTGAGGAACGAGCCCATGTTGAATTTCGCCCGCACCTCCCCAGTGGCGGGAATCATTAAATTTTCAATTGCACTGAAATCAATGTTGTGGTGGACCTCTGACTTGGGCGCGACGCATGTGCGTGAGTCAATTGTGGCGAGCGAAACGAGGGCAGAGCCCGTCGTAAACAGCGCGCCCGGCTCGCCCTCCCCCTGCCTGGACCCTTCCCGACCTACAGCATCCGAAAGTAGACTGCCTACTCTAGAATCGGCACCAAGCAGTGCAATCTGGACCTTCTATGTGCTACGCAACGCGATCAGCTCTCGCCACCATTACCTACGCTGTTCAGTTGCGTATTATCACCGTTGCGCAGGGCATGTGCTACCATAGATTTCTTCCGAAACATCGGATCGCAACAACTAACAATCAAGTGCCTAGGCGTTGCGTGGAGCTATCGGAACTGCTCCTGCTCAGAATATATATATATATATATATGTATATATACATATGTATACATATACATACATACATACATGCATACATACAGATATACATATATATATATGTGTGTGTTGCTCCACGTCTCCCGCATGGAACACTCAAGGAAACCCAAAACTCCACTCCCAACTTGCCCCCCCGTCGGACCGACCCCGAGGACAAGATGAGGTACCTAGCCGAGCATCCCTCACCAGGAGGGCATCGCGCCTCTTGGGCCCCGACGACGCGGCAGTTCTCCTCAGCCTACTGGTGCCCAAGAACCTCCCCACACGTTCGGGCTCGCCTCGCTGCCGTGGCCTCCGCGCCTCCGCTTGCCCTACCATTGAAAGCGGCCAATCGCATGCTGCTTTGCGCGCAATCTTGCGCCGGTGGACCCCCGCGCCACCTCTGAACAGATCATCTGTCTAGATGAGGGCCAGGCCGATTACGAGCTCGAGGGCTGCTCGCGGAGACGCCTCGGCGGCCTCGTCCAACCGCTCCGACTTGACAGAAGGAGAAGGTAATGTCTGCAGCTGATGGCGCGCACCTCGCAGCCTAGGCCGGCGCGAACATGCGGCAGCAACGGCCGCGGCGCCCATGGGCGCCGGGCTGCTAGCTGCGCGCCAGAGCGCGCGACGGAGCTCGATGCCTAAGAGAATGAGGCGGGCCTTTGCGACCTAGTCGTTGCCCTTGGCGTCGCCAGCAGGCGTTCTACCGAGGGGCCGCCGCGTCCATGGAATGCGATCGGGATGTTCCTGTCGCGCTAGCTTGGCTTCCTGTGCGCCGGGAGGTGTCGCGCTCTGATAGATGGTTCGAGTTTCCTTGCCCATGGCCGCCCTGAACATGGGCCAGCTGTCTTCGTGAATCATGGACCTGGGCAGCCGCCCGCCACTGCGACTCTGGCCCACCATGACGCAGATGCAGTTGGCACTGGAAGAAGCAAACAGTCAAAACCCGAATCAGCCTCTTGACAGACCTGCGCCGAGTGCGGAACTGTCTCGGCGATGCCGCGATGCGCGGCAAGATCCCCCATGGCGAAGTAGGGCCGTGGTCTCCGTGGGCTCGAAGTCCTCGCGGCGCCGACCAGGAGCCGCCCCGGGCGTTGTAGCGTAGCCCTGTCCAGGGCCAAATGCTGCAGCTCAATCCTCTGTTCGGTGGCTGGAGTCCGATCTTGGGCCGAGGCCGACTGCGGAGGTCCCTCTGTCTGTGCTTCCGCTGCTGTAGGATTAGATCTGCGATCGTTTTCGAACGGGCTTCCCCTCCGCGTGCCCAGCGCCGTCGCGCTCGCGGGGATTTGCTAGCGTCGCCGCTGCCTCGAGAGCTGCACCTCTGCTCCAGAGTGCCGAAGATGATGCGGCACCTCCCTGCTGTTTCGCGCAAGTCGCCTTGAACAGGTTCTCGTAGATGCCCCCCCCCCCCCCCAAGTTTGCCGCGCATAGACGCATCATTACCGCGCCAGCAAGACGCGCCGGAGCGTGTCCACCACGTTCTGGCGGCGCGCCATGACCAGGGCGCATCCATGGAAGAACGCGGGCGCTCGCTGTCTTACCCATGGGGCATAGCAGATCGTTTGAGCAGAGCCCTCTTGTAAAGCGATGGAAAGCTCCTCGAACTCCCTCACAATGCTTGCGTCCGCAGCGATTGTTGTTATTGGTATTGTGCGCGCTGGCTGAAGAGCAGCCCAGCACCTCTTGCTCCTCGTCGTTGAGCGGTGTGGTGTGCTCGGCTGCTTTCCCGTATACTTGCTTGGTGGTGCCGCGACAACGCTCCGTCTTGCCGGTCTGCCATGGCGAGTGCGCGTCTGTCATGTAGTGGCTCGTTCCCGCCCCAGGTGTCGGTGGCAAGGTCCGCCTTGATCTTCGTGCCCCCGCCAATCATGCATGCCTCAAACACGCCGCAATGCGCGATCCAGAGGACGCTAGATAACCCCAAGAGTTCTGAGCCGTCAGACGCGTACCGAGACGGGGCCAAAATTTCGCGCCCCGACAGACGGTGTTCAGCCAGTAACGAACCAACCAAGCAGGCTCCGCCGGCTGAACAGCGTCGGTTCCGACCGCGCAGCCAAGCCTGCAGAAGCGGGCGAACGTGGCGGGCCTTCGCGTTGATGGCCTGCGGACTGCCGCGCAAACGTAGCAGTGGACGCGCTGCTTGGCCCATGCCAGGATGCTGCGCATGCGACCTCCACGCCCTAAAGCTCGCACAAAGTCTGCCATCTGCGGATGTCCCAGGTGGCGCACTGGGCGCGGCAGGTCCTGCTGTGAACGGGTTGGCGCCACCATCTCAGCAGGGCCTCCTGGTACGTCCACGTCTTCATGCAGCTGTTTGATTACCCTTCGCTCCTGGACGCTGTCTCCTGTCCGGATCTAGACGGCGTCGGCAGCGCCTCGCTGCCGTCGACCTTCCAGCCGTGCCCATCCAACTGCGCCTGCGCCATGGCGGCGTGCACCAGTCCCACGGACGGGTCGCGCTAGGTCGAAACACCATCCCGAACATTGCGGCCACGCAGAAGCGTCGGCACTAGGCGCAAAGGGGAAGGGGGGGCGCGGGCGATGGGTCTACGCGTCCGGCGATATGCGGCGAGCTCTCGAGCAAAAGAGCTCCAATTATCTGCGTCGCGATGCGCATGTCCACAGGCTGAATCGGCATTTGTCGAAGAGCAGCCACCTGAATCGCGAGAACAGCCCGTCCCCCATTGAGCGTTATACGTGGCGCGCCGCGAACCGCCTGGTGTTCCATTGATAAGACTTTCGGTCGGCCCAAAACGTGGGTCTCAGGCTTCTTGGTAAGGTGGCGCTGGAATGCCGCTTCGACGCAATTCCCCGAAAGCGCCCTCGAGGCGGGACGTATCTTGTTCAAGCAAGGGGTCGGTCTCCTATAGCCGCAGGAAGTCAAGGTGATTGCTCTCGGACAACGTCATATAACAGGACAAGAGAACCGCCGCCACGCATCATGCACCTCATGGCTCCGCTACCGGTATGAACCAGTGCCAACGTATATGGGTCCGAAATCACGATGCATTTGTCGCTGCTAGCTTTACACGGCGCCGTAAGCCAGACGCGCCTGGAACCCAAACGGTTGCGGAGGAGGTGGGGGAAAAAACACCAATACACACATCCGCTCCTGTCATCTCAACCTCTGTCCCGATGGTCTCCTCATCCCCACCATGCATCCCCCTTCTTTTCCCCCTCCCCTCCAGTTCTATCCCCCTTGTGGTTTCCGCTCGTGGTCCTCCTCCTCAACGGCGTCGTCGTGCCCGCTGCAACCACCAACGTCTGCCATGACGGCAAGGGACCCTGAGAGAAACGGGTCCTGGACCTCGGCGTATTCCCCACGGTCGGCCCTTCAGCCTCGATGGTTCGGAAAAGGGCGAGCTTTGATAACGGTACAGTCGGGGCGTTGACCTAAGGAATTCTAAATAAAAGGAACGAGGCCCCTTTTTTTCCATGAGTTGAACTTCGATTTCCCATCGGAAACCTGCGGAAAACAGAAGGCAACCTGTGAAACAATCAAGGAACACGGAGCCCCTACCCAACGAGAACGGTTCCTTCTTCAGCGCCCCGACTGCACCTCAGAATCGCTCCCCTGACCCCTGCCGGGGTGCAAACGCACCACTTGTCCGAGATGCGTTTTAGCCGTGGCGGCGAGGGAGGCCCCTCGGAAGGCCGACCACCGTGGCCCTTTATCGGACATGGTCCGTCGACCGCCCCAGGGGCCGGAAGGGGCCCCGAGGCCTACACCGACGAACGCATACAGTCGGGGCCTTGACCCAAGGAACCCTAAATAAGGAACGAGGCCCCTTTTTCCATGAGTTCAACCTCGATTTCCCATGGAAAGCCTGAGGAAAACCCGAGGCAAACTTTGGAACAATCAAGGAACACCGAGCCCCTCCCGTTAAGAATAATCGAGACTCTGGCCGAAAACTTAGGTTTTCTTAAGCATCGCCTAAGGTGTAAATAAGGAACGAGGCCCCTTTTACCATAAGTTGAACTTCGACTTCCCATGGAAAACCTCAGGAAAACCTGGGGCAAGCTGTGAAACAATGAAGGAACACGGAGCCCCTCCCCAACGAAAAGGGTTCCTTCTTCAGCGCCCCGACTGCATTCTTTCCTCATGGCGGCGTCTTCCTCGGCCGTGGCAGTGGCCGCCGCCGCCTTGAGACAAGCAACTGCACAAACACATAAACTGCAAAGCTCCGCGCGGGTCTGCTGCATCGGCGCCGGACTCTCTCCCTGGCACGCGGAGCGCGCCACTGGTCGAGGCGGAGGCGCCGCCAGGGGGTCTAAGTACCGATTCACGAATCCAGCGCGGAGCTCGGAGATTCTGTGGTTATGCAATTTGTTGCTGTTCGAATCCCCGCCTCGCCGTCGGCGCCGCCGCCGCCGCCGCCGTCGGCGCCGCGACCGCGGCCGCCACCGCCGCCGATGGCTCGCCCGCGGCGGCCGCCCGCGCCCCGCGCAATCCGCGGGGCTGTGGTTCAGCACCTGCCGCTCGCGACCACCGCGCCCTCGCCTGGGGGGCCGCGCGACGCGAGCCGGGCGCGGCCAGCGCCGCATCGCCACCGCCGCTGCCGCTGCCGCTGCCGCACCAGGTTTCGGGCGGACTGGCCCTCCAAAGGCCCAATAGGAATCGCCCTCCATTCCTTGTCCTTGCAATGAGCTCCTCCCTGTCACACCCCGAGGCCGGTCGAAAGGGGGGCAGCCGGGCGTTTCGCCCGAGACTTCCTCACCAGTCATGATCCCGAAGCTCAATTTGCAACAGCCTCACGGATAGAGGGCAGCTTGCTTTCAAAATGTGAAAATGTGGCTCTCGCCTTCGCGCCGAACGATTTCGCCGTAAACCTCTGCAAGATTTCACAGATGGAGGGCGGGTGGTTTCCAACATGCGGTTCTCTATTTAGCGCCGAGCACCTTCCTCTGAAAAGCCTACCGGGTTCTCAAGAATGGAGGGCGGGTGGCCTTCCAAAGTGCGGCTCTCGCCCTCGCGCCGCGCGCACTCGCCCAGACATCTTCCGGAGTGTCGCGAATGGCAGGCGGGCCGTTTGCAAAATACGGCTCTCGCCCTACACCCTGCGAAATGCTTAAGAAATCATGGGTTAAGAAATTCATAGTCTCAGAACTTGAATAAAAGCCCAACATTTCCATGAACATCTTGGGATCTACATTGAAACGTTAAGAATAATCGAGACTCTGGCCGAAAACTTAGGTTTTCTTAAGCATCGCCTAAGGTGTAGCGCCGCGCGCCTTCGTCCGAACAAGCTGCGAGACCTCGGCGGCACGAGGGCGGGAGGTCTTCACCACGTCCTCCTCCTCCTCCTCCTCCCCCTCCTCCTCCTCCCCCTCCTCCCCCCCTCCTCCCCCCTCCTCCTCCTCCTCCTCCCCCTCCCCTCCTCCCCTCCTCCCCCTCCTCCTCCTCCTCCTCCTCCTCCTCCTCCTCCCCCTCCTCCTCCTCCTCCTCCTCCTCCTCCTCCTCCTCCTCCTCCTCCTCCTCCTCCTCGATTCTCAGCGCCGCGCATTCCGTCGTCTGCGACGCTGCCGCGGGTGGCTTCACGGGTGGAGGGCGGGGGGGTCTTCGGCACGTGGCTCTCGCGGCACCGTCGGGGCGTCCAGCCAAGGAGCCCTCAACTGAAGGGGAACCTCGGGACACACAAATAAATACCGCCGCAAACCCCGTCCGCCCTGTGCCTCTTGCTCGCCCTTCTCCTATCCCGAGTTTGGTGGGTGGAACCAAAACCCCCTCTGGCAAAACACCCGCCTCAACCAGACCTGGCCCGCCGCAAACCATACCGCCGCAACGCCGTCTCGAGTCGAGGACAAAGCCGACATGGCAGAGTGGGGGTCCGACTGACCTACCAACCAACGACTGCTTCATCGCTGATCTGGTTGGGGGCTGGGCGTAGCCGTCACCGCGCTGGGGGGACCCACACAGGGACCCACACAGCCCTAAATTGAAGGGGAAATTGGGACACACAAATAAAGACACACAAATAAAAAGATTCCCCATAGTTTCCCATTTTTTTTCTGGGTTTTTGTCTTGCCCCCCACTTCCCATATTTTCCTATATTTTCTGGGAAATCGAGGATGAATTGTGTCTGTGTGCTTTTTCCCCTCCTGATAAATAAGGAACGAGGTCCCTTTTTACCATAAGTTGAACTTCGATTCCCCATCGAAAACATCAGGAAAACCTGAGGCAAACTGTGAAACAATGAAGGAACACGGAACCCCTCCCCAACGAAACGGGTTCCTTCTTCAGGGACCCGACTGCAGCGCAACTCTCACGGATTCCCACGACTACCGTCCAACAAGTGAGATTCTGGCACGATGCCGGACTGTCAGGGCGAAACTGTTACGTTAATTCGCGGTGGTGAAGTCCCAGGAGCGATGTTATGGATGGCGCGGTTCAGGATCGTCAAGACGGGGCACTAATAATGTCTCGCGCGGCGTTGAAGTCCCTGGAATGGTGCTCTGGCACAGTTCATTATTTTCAAGCGGTTATCTTCCAACGGGACACCTCTCTCAGAGAGCATGAACCCTTGCATGGCGCCTACGAAAAGGAAACTTTAAGGGAGGGCTGATTGTGACATCGTTGATGAGTCTTGGGTTTACACTGGTCCTCCCCCTCCTCCCCCTGGTCCTCCCTCCTCCTCCTCCTCCTCCTCCTCCTCCTCCTCCTCATATCACGCCCCCAAGAGACCTTCAATAGGGCCTGAAGAGACCCCCAAAAGACAAGCCCCAACACGGCCGACGATTCCCCCTAGACGGCCCCAGAGACCCCCTACGAAGGCCCTCAGAGGGGCCCAAAAGGCGCAGACTCGGGGGTGCGCTCCCCAAGATGCCTCTCAAAGGGCTCTTATGCTCTTCCTCCTGGGCCCCCTCCGAGCGCCAACCCGCGAAATCTCCTCTTCATCCCCCCGACGCTCGACGCGGCCTGGGCTGGGCGACAAGGAGTCGGGGGCTCCTGAAGAGGAGCCGCGAATGTGCAGCCGACTTCCGCGGGCGATTGGGCTCCTGGGTTCCTTGTTCTAAGAGTCCTGGGTGCATACGGCAGGTTCGTGTCGTGTCGACCCCGGCGTTGGTTTTTGACACCGCAGGGATCGTTCAACCTTGAACGATCGGCCATTTCCGCGACGTCCAATCGTTCAACATCGACCGATTCTGGGCCGCCGCCGGCGTTCAACCTTGAACGCCCGCGCTGGGGTCGCCGCCGGTCGACACGACGCAAACCTACCGTAGCTTTGCCATGGTGTTGTGAAAACGTGTCTCTCCTTCCGATGGGCTTCCAGGTTCCCCCATAGGTCCCAGGGTCTCGGATCCGGGCCGGTCCTGTTGCGCGCTCCCCGCCGAATCCAGGTGGGCAGTCAAATTCCAGGATGGAGAAATTACAGAGAGCAGAGACAGTAAATGCACCAGGGGGTATATATATATATACATATACACACATATATATAGATAGATAGATATATATATATGTAGATATATATATATATACTAGAACCATCGCGCGCGCTTCGCGCGCGCTCAGGTTCTAGCCCAGGACGGGGGCGCGCTAGAAGATCGTGGGCAGCGCTATCAAGCACAGGCGCGTGACATAGTCGTGCCTCCTGAGGGCCTCTTTTTCTTCATAGGAGCAGGAGTAACAGCAACCTAGCGCAACAAGGCAAAAGGGTATCCAGGCGCAGTGTTAATGAAGACATGGGTACAACGCACGTCAGCCATGCACTATTTGAAATCCGAACGCTGCCAGTCAAGCAAAGGATGCACGTGCAATAGAGGACGTAGAACGGATCCAGCCATTTGGGGCCGAACGCGCACTGAGCTCCGTGCGCATCGCACATGCTCCCGAAGAAATGATCACGTCTTTGTTGTCATCCTCGCCCAAAAGACCTCCGACATCAAACCCTGTTCGCCCTGAATGCTTAACGTACACATTTAAGTACATGAAACTTGTGTCCGTGCGTCCGTGAACGACTTTCAGCTCAACCGTGCCAAAAGCAAGTCATCCAGGGCTTCCGACATCACTTTGCGATGCGCTGAAGTGGTACCCTCCAACTTGCTTAGCGACTGCCCACGACCCAGTAACGTTTATCTCTTGGAAGTACATATCCGCGCAGCCTTTACCCACTCGGCGCGCATCGGCTTGCACGCGAAGCAATGCGTCTTCAACGCTCGTTCCACGAGGGATGCTTATCAGAACGTGAATGCCTGGCTTCATCAAATCGAACCGCTCGCCGTGAACGTTTTGAAGATGGGGGTCACCGGTAGCAGCCACGCCTGCGCCGGCTCCGCCCGCCATGGGAGCTGCAGGAGGAAACGTCGGATGTGGTGTCGGCCAACCCTGAAGATACGTCGGGCTGGGCGTTGGGCTGGGCGTCGGGAGAGCTGTTGGGAAGGCCGTCGGGTAGGACGCCGGGAAAAGCGTAGGGAAGAGCGTCGGGAAAAGCGTTGGGTAGGCCGTCGGGTAGGGTGTCGGGGAGGACGTCGGGAAGGGCGTAGGGAAAGGCGTAGGGAAAGGCGTAGGGAAGGCCGTTGGGTAGGGAGTCGGGTAGGGGGTCGGGTGGGGCGTCGGGAAGGCCGTCGGGTAGGGCGTCGGGTAGGGCGTCGGGCAGGGCGTCGGGTAGGTCGTCGGGTAGGGCGTCGGGTAGGGCGTCGGGGTGGGCGGCGGAGGCTGGCGGACATGCTGGCGTCCCGCTCGCCGATACGAGGGTCGCGCTCCCCGCTCGGTACGAATTCAAGTCGGCCGCGGAATAGGAAGCCACGGGCGAGACAGAAGTCGTCGCTCCGTTCATCGCGCTGTTGATATCGGACGAAGACAGCCCAGAGGGCCACAGCTGCACAGAATAAACCTTGTGCAGTCGCCAGGGCAATTGTTTGTGGGTCCCGGGCCTGCCCCCCCTATATATATATATACATACATACATATATGTATGTATATAAGTGGCACGTGTGTGCCCAGGCTCATACAACAAGCTGAAGGGGCGTTTGAAGCAGGAGTGACATGCAACAGCGAAGTCGCACTCGAGCGCAAGTGGGGTTGCCACACCTTGCGATGTGTGTACCAGGGCCCCCCAGGAAGCCTCAGGAGGCCCGACTTGGATACCAGAAGAGGCTCCAGGAGGCCCCAGGATTGTGAGTGTTGTGTGTGTGATGTGTGCTTTGTGTGGTGCGTGTTTTTTGTGTGTTGTCGGTGTTGTGTGTGTATATTATGTTTGTCTAGCGTGTGATGTGTTGGGCGTGATTTGTGTCTTTGTGTGTGCATGTAGTTCTGAAGCCCCAGGAGGCCCCAGGAGGCCCCAGGCGGCCTCAGCAGGCCCAGGAGAACTCCAGGAGGCTCCGAGGCGGGGTCTGGGGTACCAGAAGGTCCAGAAAGCCCCAGGAGGCCCCAGGAGGTTCCAGGAGGCCCCCAGGAGGCTCCGAGGAGGGGTCTGGGGCTCGATTTTGGGAGGATGTCTCAGGCGAAACCGCCATTCTCTGAGAATCGGGGTCAAAATTATTGAAATTACCATGTGTTTTTGA